GGAAAGAGAATCAGCCTAAATTATGTAGTAAACATATTTTTTTAGGTAATATAATAGTTTTCATGAAAATGAAGCTGTAACAAAGCATATCTTAAAACTTTAGTGTGTACAGTCATAAAAGTGCTCTTTGTGCAAGCATTAATAAGAAAATAATAAACTAATACAGAAGTTCAGTCACTGAGGTAATGTGCTCCACTATTCTGTCACTTTTCTGTGATAAATGAAACTGTGTCCCTGAAGCCAATGGCAAAACTCTGATGTAAATCAAAAGCAAACAAACCAAAAAAAAAAAAGTTATTGTATTATTCCCGGTCTCTTTTTAATCTTTTAGATGTCAAAAAAGTGCAACAAGTGAACTCCTCTTCCTAAAATAACTTGCTCTGTTTATTTGTTTGCCTTATTAGTCAAAAATACCCCAAGAGGTTTTTTTAGATAGATTTTATGTGGTTTTATTTATTCTGGGCCCAGTTTAACTCTAGATACACCAATTTAACTCTGGTTAACTTCTGGTGTTTATAGTCCTAATGATGTCAGTAAATGTACTCACATACTTATTATGAAGCACATGTGTGAGTGCTTTGTTCTAATTAGCCATAAATATTTAGGAGTTCTATGTTTCAAGACAACTGTTACATCAAGCAGCAACAGACAAAAATGTTCTTTGTTAAGTTTTCAATATTGCCAGGGTATTAGACTCCTTAAATACCTTTTATGAATAAATCAGATCCAGAACAACTTCTCCAAATCTCTTCTTCCATATGTTCTGAAGACTAATATTTTAATATTAAAATTCCCTTTACATTAGAAGGAGAAAGATGTATTTTATTATCTTCATTATTAAAGTTCCTGTCCCAATCTAATGCATTTGAAATAATTTTAATGAAGTAATGATTAACTTTACTTTTTTAACATGATGACATTTTAAGATGACTGGTTCTTACTTTCCTAAATGTGAAGTGAGTGAAGTTACATCAAAACCATCTCAAATATCACCGTAATAGAAATCTCTTAGTTTTGGTGGGTCTGCATATACCAATTCTTAAGTGAAAGGTTGCGGTTTTTTTGTTTTGTTTGTTTTTTTATGGCTGGTGAAGGCATGAAAAAATATTTCTCAAATGCATTCATTGAGATACCAACAAGATGAATAGAACATTTTTTACCAAAGTATCTGCTTGTATTCTATTTGAAATAAAATGATAGTATAATCTGGGAATGTGTGTGCAAACTAGCATATTTTCCAGTAAAGAAGGAAGAGACGCATGTAACAATGTAAACATTGACTTTACCTCAAGTGAAGGCCGCTCTGTTTATTCAGGGTGCTTTTCCCTTTAATTGCCAGTAAAGTTATTTTTCCTATTGTTTCAGTTGTTTTAATAGTGAGGCATTCTTAAGTATTCAGAGAAAACCTATATCTACCCTGTAACTCAACAAAATGTTTTCTCCTAGGTTCAACAAGTTTTTTTATCAGTACCACACTTATGCTCCATTGCCAGTCATTCTACATTTGATTTGGTGCTGTGGGAAAATCATTCAGAAAGAAAATAACATTTTGTTTCTGTGCATAAGAAAACAAAGCTTTCTGCCTTGGAATAAAATCATTGTTCTGAAAATGTCAGACTGATTTTTATTTTTAAAAATATTAATAAAAATTGTGGTAGCTTATTTTCAATATGGCAGTGTACAGAGAAGGTAAGAGGGAAGGTATATATGAACTATTAGCCCATTTGTTTCTATACTAATTATTTAAAATATAACAGGGTGTGGATACTACCTGCCTTAGTATATCAAAGAAAAAAGAGCTTGTGTGATTGTGGAAAAGATGCTTTTAGAACATGACTGGCCAGGTACTTTGTAATACAATGTTAATTTGTCACCTAACCTGTTAAATACACAGTCCACAATTTTTATAAGAATGCTTGGTTCAGCATAATGCTTGGCACTGCAGCAACACTCAACTTCCCCCTCCCCCCTTTCCCACCACCACCACCACACACACACATACACATCGCCTCTTTCTTCCTCTGCTAGTAAGATTTTTTTTTTCTATTTACATTTAGATATACAATATAATACAACACACAGTGCACACACAGGGCTCTATATACAGTATGCGTGTCAGTATCTGTCTATAAGGAACACATAGGTTATAATAGCAATGTAAATATTTGGTTAATATAACTGACATTGTGGATAATGTACACTCTGATATTACATCCCGTTGCCTACTCCATTGGCTCTAAATGCCATCACTAATTGAGAAATGCAGATCAGCACTAGATTCCTCTATCCAGAGAAGGCTGCATACTGGACTGGATTGCTGTCCTTGGTCCTAAATGTTTATACTTGCTTTCTTAGGTACTGAAGAAACATAAATACAGAGTCAAAAGCCCAAGCACAGCCATGATGTGCCTGCTTAGGTGGAAGCAAGTATGAATATAGTGATATTCTACCCACAAAACAGGGCATTACAATAACTGTGCATTATAACAAATGTTAAATCAAAGAAAAAAGGCTTCATTAACATGGCATCAAATTCCATGCAAAACCTGGGCATGTACCACCATTATAGATACCCACTGTTTAGCTTCCCCATTCCTCTCAATACCACACTTATAAGGCAAATAAAACATAGCAACAGTGAAGGAGATAGATGAAGGCAAAGCTACTCCCCAAACCTTTAACATTCTCACTACAGCCCTCTGCATTTGCAAACAGCATCTTCGCCCCCCAACCCTCCCCCCCCCCCCCCCCCCCCCCCCCCCCAACCAGCAAACAGAAGCAGAAAGCACATCTTACCACTGGATGAGAGAGAGGAACACAAGTGCCCACACCATCATTTTGAGAGAAAATGCAGGATTCAAGAGTGCACTGCTTCCCAGGCTTGTTGGATTTGAAGGAAACATCTCTCTTTTTCTCCCCCCCCCTTTTTTTCCCTTTTCCTCTTGGTTTGCAGATGGATCCGTCCCCTTCTTTTATTTTTTTTTGGTGGTGGTGGTTTCCCCCCCTACCGGGTCCCATCAGTGGGATGATACATTGCACCCAGCTGCATGGATTAATATTCAGGGGGGCAGAAATCAGATCTGCACAAGCCCTTTGCAGATACAATCAAAAAACGTCAGCTCAGGCAGCAGGCAGCAGCTTCCAAAGGAAGGGGAACAAT